AAATGAGAATTTTTAATACAATTTCAGACATTGTAAATAAATACAGTTAATATATTAAATGACATAAGACAAGAAGTTTTAGCACTAATCACAGAAAAAAAAAAAAAAAAAAAGGAGTATATTGAGATATTTGTTTTGTTCCTTAACTTAATGGACAAATTGGTATATTTTCAGAAAAAAAAAATTAAATGACATCACTGATAGATAATTAAGAACATCCTGAAATCATATATATATATATATATATATATAGTGAACATTGACGTCAACATTCAGAGGCGACAGGCTGTTTCATGCTAGACGCAATCGTCAGACAGCATCTAGTATGAAACAGCCTATCACTTCTGAGTGTTGACTTCAAATGCTCACTTTTATATTTACATATGCTCTATCTCTGATATTGAGCACTTTATCCTATAAATATAGCACACCTTAAAACTATATTTCTTTATGCATAAAGTGGTTAAAATGTACACTTTCTGGCCATGAGACCCAGGTGTGAATCTTACCACGGTTGATTTGTCAGGAAGGAGACTTCCTGATGCTATCTGTCCGGAGATGGTGGGGGGGGAGGGGGTCAATATCAGCAAGTGTCACCTTTGGAAAGTGCCTGAAAACCATACCACAGGTTGACCCAAGCCTTGTGAGTGAAATTGGGTAGACAGAACAGTTGGGAGCCGTCTATAGCTAGCTAGCTAGCTAGCATGAAGTCACAAGTCATCGTGACCGAGGGTTTGAGTGTGCTGGCCTTGTTCAGATTGATCACACTAGATAACATGCTCTCTCATAAAATGTAACTAAGGTCTGCTCAGCAGCGTTACAATATAAACCACAGGTGGGCTATGTCGGTGTTGAACAAATACAAATGTATCTGAACTAGCATCTGCAATAGGGATTGGCTAGCCACCCTAGTAGACAGGTATCCTTGAATACAAGTGGCCAGCTATTTTATATAGCTATATATATATATATATATATCCCACCTCACTGGTAGCACAACACTACAGTTTCATGTACAATAAAATCTGAATATAAATTACACTAGGCAATTGAAGTTTGCATTATGCATAAAACTGAGCTGTGCTAATAGTGAGAGATAATATTTAATAATATATATTTAAATAGTTCTGTTTTTATTACATCAACAACAGCACACACGCACATACATACACACGTTCGTGCGCACATACATACATACGAACACACATACACACACAATACTATCAATTAGATACTGGTTGAACTAGTAGTAAAGTCCGAAACGAGTTTACCATAAAATTTTGTTTCAATAATAGAGTTACAGTACATCCACAATTAAAAAATAAAATAAAATGGTAAATAAAAACATTTTATGCAATTCTTTATAAAACAATAAATCAAAATAAATAAACATTGTAATAACAATTTTTCATACAAGTAAAGTTTGAGATATAACTGAGTAAGACACCTAGTTTTTAATTGCTCTTTTCTTTTTTTACTCCCTAAATGCTTCTTCAACCTTCCCACTCACCATCTTAGTATTATATCCAATAAATATACAAATACATTTTTAGCTGGATTATATTTCAAACTCCAAGGCATTTCAGCTATTTTGAGAATTTCTTGATTTTGTACATACATTTGTTCTGGCCGTCTAGATATTTACTCTTATTTTAAATATGTACAGAAATATTTATGGCATTGGGTTACCAAAGGCATTTACTTTCTATTGGGAGAATTTGATCTTTTTATAGAAGTCTGGTTATTGCTTTATGGAAAATGACAAAAAGCTCCATAACAGATGTAAAACAAGGAAATAAAATAAAATGAAAAGAAAAAAAAAAAAAAAAAAATTTAATTTTTTTTTTATACATTGTGTATTTGAATTTTTTCTGCATATATTTTCAGTTTTTATAAATTTCGTTTTAACTTCAAAAGTTCCAAGTGCATGATGTTCTTTAAAACAAATCTTCTCCCAGAGTCCCTAGACTTGAAGACTCAGGTTGAAAATCTCAAAATAAAATGTGTAAAAAATAAATAAATCCGTAAAAATAATTATTAATTAAACATTCAAAAATAATGAAAACTAAACTAATTTAAAGAAAATAACTTTCAGTTCGTAAAGCAAACAATGCTTTTCTAGTGGATTGATGCAAGAAAAAACAAAAAAAAACAAAAAAAAAACAAAACACAGGCAATTAAATTCTTGGGGCGCTTCAGTTGGGTATAATAATGGCGAGCAAGTTGAACTTTTTAAATAAAATAATAGTTTGATCCTTAGCGGATGACCAGGTGTCTGACCTTCTGTCAGAGCTAAGCTACAGTACATTTTTTAGTAAACAGCAACAATTAAAATAAATTCTTGAACAGATTATTTTCACCTACTAAAAAATGTCAATAAAAATATGGTTACTTTTAGTTTTTTGTCTTTATTTCAGTCTCCTCCACATCATAGCATACCCACGAGGTGAGATTTCAAGTAAAAACAAAACACATTACACAGTTTTTTTTATATATATATATTGTTTATTATTATGCGCGGTACTTATTTGGAAAGCGCTCAATATCAGTGATAGAGCTAAACATTTTTAGTTTCATAAATGTGAATTTGTGACCCTGAGTTTCACGCCCTTGCAATCGTCAGAAAAAAAACTGACGAACAATGATGTCTGATGATCGTAAGGGCGTGAAACCCAGGGTCACAAATTTACATTCATGAAACTAAATATAGGAAAATTTGTATAACAAAGTGGAAAATGTTTAGTTTACACTGGTGACGCGTTTCGTCCTTCAGGATTTCATCGGACCGATGAAGTCCTCAAGGACGAAACGCGTCACAAGTAAAACTTTTCCCACTTTATTACACAAATTCCCAATATTGTTTTTAAAGTTAGTAATCTTATTTCTATAGTCATCAATACCATTAATAAGCATTTTTTTTTCCTTTATCCTGATTTTATCCACGTTCAAACGCTTTACTCTCTAGCCTCAAATATTGGCCACCCATGTTTTATCACCCATTCATCTAAAACAGAAAAGGTAAAGGGTTTTGTAGTCAATATGTTTTTTTTTTTTTTGTTATGCCTTCTTAGGCATAAAATAAAATAACTTAGTAGACTAATGCAAAAACCACCCGTGAAACGTTAATAAATATGAATTATCTCTACTACCGCATCCTCTTCGATAACCGGCGAAAAATTAAAAGAAAAATGAAATAAGCAGACGATAATTTTGTTAGCCTAAAAAAAAAAAAAAAAAAAAAAAAAAAGGCAGACGACGCAATCACATGACTTGATACTTAAAATTCATTGGTCCAATTTGTAACTTACAAAAACTATAAAAACAATTGTTTACGAAAAGAAAAAAAAAAAAAAAAACATTTTTAAAGCATTGTTGTTACGAATCATTGAAATACTGCAGACTTTAAGTGTCTACTACTCTGTAGATTCTTCAACAGTGTCGTTTGAAATTAACACGCGAACTAAAAACAAACGTACGGTAAATTAAATTGTTCATTTTTTTTTTATTTTTATAATTAAACTGGTAAAAAGTTAAAAAACAGATTGCAAATTTTCAGATCTCTTGTGAATGTTTGTTTACATTACAAATATACGTGCATATGAGGTGTAAGGACTCAAAATAAAAGCCCGTACAAAATATATATATATCTCCACAAAAAAGATTTTCCATTCCTAAGGCATTCATTTATTTAACAACAGTAACAAGCTTTCTGCTTTTACCACTTTGAAGTTTACAATCTTTTATTCTTTTCGTAACAGATAAATAATTACGAGGTTTACTTTACATTTAAAAACTTTTAGGGTCATAGTCAAAGGCTAACAAAATAAATAAATAAATAAACGTATTATTAACTTTTAAGACCCCCCCCCCAAATACCAACTCCCAAAGAACATTATCGTTTGACACAAACAAAAAAGACTCTTCGTGTCTATATTTTTTACCCTTAATTTCAATACTAAAAAAAGATTTCATTTACGTCAGAACGAATTTATTTTTTATTATCAAACATAAAAGCTTTAAGAGCAAATCCTCATTTTTAAGTACTTATTTGGTACGTTGCTTACACGTTTTTTTGCGCAACTTCATTTATTCACCTCTTAGGGAAAAAAAAATCTAATAAATCTGAGGTTCTAAAAATCAATGAAATCAAATGAATATAAAAAAAAGCACTCAATATGAGAATTTGGCTATTAGTAAAACAATAGATAAATTTGCATTTTATCTACTTTATTCAATAAATTCACAATGACATTCATAAAGTGTCACCACGTAAAAGAAAATGATATGGCGTACTATACAGCAGTGGATCAATCACTTTCTGCTTTGGTATCCAAGGCCAACAAAATAAACCGTCCCCTCTACACAGAGTCAATATTCAAACGATTAATAAATACTCCAGTTATTGTACTATATATATATATATATATATATATATATATATATATTAATTACACTTGGTGGAACAAAATCAGCAACCACAAGTTGACGTTCAAATACGGTTCAATAAACAATTGTTTTTTTTTTCTTTTTATGCCGCACCCAAATAAAGTAGAAACAAAATTTTTTATAAATTTTTCATGAGATATATAAAAATACAAGAAGATAGCATATCTGTCTAAGATAAAGATCACATGAAATAAAAAGTGAAAATAAACGTAAGATGTTTTGATTTTTTTTACCCCATAGGCAACCGCGCCCATAAAAAAGAAAAAAATGAAGACATTACTTTTTTTTTTTTTACTGTTACTTGGAACTCGAATTGTTAAATGATCGCATAAAAAGAGTAGAAAAAAAAATTCACGATGAATGAATGAATGAAAGGGATTTTTTTAAAATTAAATGCAAAGTTGGCAATAATGCGGTTAGAGGTGAACACCGGAGAAGCGATGGTTGATAAAAAAAAAAAACAACAACAAAAAAAAAACTGCGGGTGTGCAGATATGATTGCCCCACAGCAGTATAATAAAAAAAAAGGGGGTTGACAGTGTCTTTATACTCACCAAGTGTAACACAGTGTTGACGACATCTTTGTTCGACACCTGGTCTGCTTTGATCAAGCCGACCAACAATCTAAACTTCACGTCATCTTTTTCGGTCGACTTTAGTATGTCCTCCACATGTTTTATATCTCCCCCACCTTTGTCGGCAACTTCAGCCATTTCAAGAGAGTCCCTAACAGCGAACTGTATCACGTGTCAACGGATAAGAACTGCAACTGTACACAGTGTGGGTTAACGACAAAGCAACAACTGAACAGAGGTGTAATACCTATGCATTTATTAGTTTTAGTACAGGTACGCCGAAAGACCCACTTCCTCTTGTTTACGGGCTGGCGGTTTATCTCATATCTTATTGGACAAAAATATCAGCACGCCAGCAAACGATCAATAACACACCTCTTCTTCTTTACAACAATAATCATTATTACAAAATACTACACACACTTATATTTACCTTCTGCTCAATTTAGAATAGAAACGACAATTTTTAGTTTTATTTTATTTTTCAGTTGTTGCTAATAAATCTATTTTTTTTTTAATTAAATCACCTATTATTTGTATTGAACACTCGTACATCCCCCACACACTTATTACTTTTTCCAACTTTCACTTTAGTACTCTCTTTCTATCCTTCTGTCTATCTCTAGGAACAAGCGCATGTGCGTGCATATATTGCATAATAAGCGTACTTCTTTCATTTTCATTTCAAATTAAGATACTTTTTGAAATTGTTTCTATTTATTTCCCCCTAAGTTTGAATACACAGTTTTGCTTTCTCCTTTTAATTTTAGTTTTATTCTTATCATCTATATTGCTTCTTTTTCTTCTATGTTCTTTACATCTCTTTGCATCACTAAAAGATAAAAAAAATATCTTGCCTTTTCTTTTCTATCCCTCACTCCTACTTTTTTCATGCTGCATTTCTATCTTTACTTTTTATACACCCTCTCTCTCTCTGTCTTATTCTATCCCTCAATTTTATTCTTTCTATCACTTATTTTCTCTCTCTCTTATTCTTACTCTTATTCTCTCCCTTACTCTTATTCTCTCCCTTACTCTTATTCTCGCACTCTTATTCTCTCCCTCACTCTTATTTTCTCTCTCTCTCATTTTTTTCTCTCTTACTCACTCTTATTCTCTCTCCTATTCTCTGTCATCATTTGATAAGAGAAAAGTGAGATGAGAAACATTTTTGAAACAACTTCTGCTACTGTTACTTCACAACTAATCTCTATTCCTCCTCCCCACACTCACTGAGTCATATTCACTCCACCTTGTCCACGTAATCTAACGTCGCTGATTGGCTGAACTGAATTTAGCCCGGACTCTTCCTTTCAGTCTGTTTCTACTGACAGAAGGAGAGAGAGAGAAAATAAAAAAGAGCTGTGATCATGGCTACCGTGGACACTTTACGGGTAAAAATAAGATTATATTCTTCTCTTCCTCATACTTTTTCTTGAATATATATTGAAAAATGAAAGTATTTTTGTCCTATCTTACATAGTCGTATTATGTCAGATTTTTAATTTTTCTGTATGTTTAGATTTTGAGTTATTTTGAGTATTATGTTTATTGAAATGACTGACTACACCCTTTTTTTTTTTAATTCCTTTTTTGCTTGATTTTAGAATCCACAGATGATAATTGACTGAATAACATTACAATATATCATAAATATATTCATATCTTAAATAATTAATCATGTATTTAACTATAACCAAATAATTACTTCACCCATAATGTATTATCATTGTATATATTTTCTATTTTCCATCATCATTTAAGATATTTTAGCTGTGTGTAAATGAATGACCTAAATTAAAAATAAATGTAATTTTCTAGAATTATTCCCTAAAATTAAAATAAACTCTTTTAAATGTTTTATGTTCAGGTTAATTATGGTATATAATTGTAATTAACAAAGGTACAGTTCATTAATTGAAGAAATGAAAAGATGGAAGTTTAAAAAAAAAAAAAAAAAAAAAAAGCAGCTGAATTTTTAGTACCATTCAGTTGTCAAGCACGCAATGGAGAAAACTAAATGGAACTGTACTTTAAAATTTTTTTTTTATTTTATTTTTCTTAAGTCACTGTTTCCAGAGTAGAATCTTTCGACATAAAATAGTGCTGATTACTAATGAACCTACTAAAAGCAGTAAATTTTAAGTATTGTTCTCTATATAAGGGAAAGGAATCCATTTATAACGTGCTAAAGGAAATGATTATTTTAAAAGAAAAATAGCCATCATTAACCGTGTGAAAAAGTATATTATCATTTAAGTTTATCATTCTTCCTACGAATTTGTTTGCCAATTTCTTTGAAATATTTGACGTGGCATAAATTCTTTTCTCTACACCATTTACCTTTTCTTTTTTTTTAATATACATTTTTGTCTACTTTAAATTAAAACGCAATAGTTTTTTCAGCGCAATATCAAAAATAAATGTATTTGGAAAATATAATGGCTTGAAGTTAATTCAAAATTGCTGGAATTCCGTAACATTTCTTTATTTCCGAAATTTTTACTTGGAATTTACTGTTAATTATTGTGGGATGGGAATCTCTAGAATATTGTAAGTTTTTGTTTTGTTTTTTTTTTTATTTGTATCCATACTTTTTTATGGAAAAAGCTGTCATTTAGAAGTTCGTTCCTTATTGCATATTTTAAAGAAATATCATCATTTTATTATAGTACTAATTTAAGTAATCCCTAATATTGTAATTTTAAAACTAAAACCGTCACTTTTTGGGAACGTTGATTTGTTTTCCGAAGATATTTGCAATATTCACAATTATAATTTCATTTCTCATTCGAATATTTGTTCTATTTCTAATGAACGTCAATTAACTTCTTACTAAACTAAATTAATATCAAACTTTGTCAAAATTTAGAGATGTTTCCCTGTAAAGATAATTTTAATATTTTTCTCATTTTTAATTGCTAAAAAATGTTTCCTAATTTCTTTAAAATAATTATTTATTACCATTCTATAGAATTAGTTCAAAGTTACGTTCAAAGATTCCTGAAATTAAAAAAAAAAAAACTGTTAAAAAGAATTTGCTTACACATGATGTAAAAAAGTGGAAAATTGTCAGATTTATTTAGTTAAATGTAATGACAAGCATAAGCATCTTAGAAAGGAGGAAAGTGGTTCACTTAAAGATTATTTCTCCCTTTTCTTCTCTAACGATTTCTCTTACTCTCATTCTTCAAGAATGTATCTGGTTGTTAGATAATTAAATGAAGGGGGTATTGAAACATTCCTAGAATATTTCACTAGTCACTGCTACAACTTTTTTTTTCCATCCATCCACAAGTAAGAAGACAGTAGTTCTTGAATGTAGAGTAGTGGGAGAAGAAAGACGTTAAAATATTAACTAGTTTCTCAAGAGTTGCTTACAACTACTACAACTGGGGAGTGGCTTTTTTAAAACAAGGGGATGTTGCCGGGCTTCTTAGCATTCTAAGTAAATCCATATCATTAAAATGCCAAATATTTCACTTTATTTAATCTTTTGATCATTACTCAATGTTTAATAAGAATTCTTTCAAAATCAAAAAACAATAACTTGCTGGCTTTCATTGTTTCCTTTCCACTACTTGTCATTAATTACAAAAATGTCATTAAGTAATTTCTTTTATTTTTATTACGTATTTATACGGAAATTCAAATTCTCTTTACTCTATTTTTATACGTATTTTTTATTTTATATTTATACACGTATTTTTATTGCTTTTTGTAAAACGTTTAACACTGACTTATGTTTAGTAATTAGTTTATAAAATTTTTATTTTTATTTTACGTGGAAAGGTCTTTTTTGTTGTTTGTTTTTGTTTGTTTTTATTAGAGATGAAAAATTGATTGTATGGAATTCTTAGAATCTTTACGTAGTGCTCTATAATCATATACGAGATAAAATTGAAAAGCCGAATCTGAATGGAGAAATGCAGATGCTGTACTTGTACATCTGAAAATTACAACCTAAAGTTGTGATGTCTAAATTCGGTTGAAATATCATCCTTATTATCACTGAAGTACACGCCATTTCATGAAATCATTTCCTTTTCCTTTACAGTCATTTTTCCTCTTTCTCTCTCCACTTTCCTCTTCCTTTTTATGGTTAGAATTCTTCGTTCTCATGACTAGACAAATAAAGTCCTATTGTCAATTTCCGCCTAATCCTTTTAGTCAGGATGTTAAAATGTCATATTTCCCCTCACTTTTTATCTCTCTCACACACACTTTTTTTTTTTTTTTTTTTTTTTTTTTACCTAGATTATTTCGTTTAGTTTGATTTTCTGGAATGAAATAGTTATTTATATTCAGACTATTTTTTGATTATCCCCATCTTTTATCAAAAGGTTTCGGCCATGCACTCCGGCGTTCTTCAGGTGTTTGGCGATATGGGTAACCTTCAGGGTATTTCGATCTGAACGTTTTTTTTTTCTTTTTAATCTTATGTGTACTGTAGATTATTCTTATTCCTCTGTCCATATCTAGTAGGAGCTTGTCTTATGTGAAACTGAAATAAAAAATTAAAAAAAACAAACAATATTCAAACAACTTTTTTAAAACTCTTCATTTTTACTGTAATTTTAATTTTAGTTTAAAATATTAAACTGAATAAATTTATCTTTTTAAATGTTTCTTTGGAATTTAATTTAAAAAAAAAATGCCTGGAAAGTTGATATAAAAAAAATAATTCTATTTTAAAATTCAACATCTTTTAAAGCCCTTTAGTCTTAACTTCCCACTCTTATTTTCAAGCTCATAAATTTTATATTTCCAAATAAGTATTTTCGTATTTCAGAACAAATTTAAATTCCTTGGGAGGTTTTTTTATTTTTTTTAATCACCGATTTTAACCATCTGTCAGCATACCCTTTATTTTAAAAAATCTAAAAATAAAATATACTTTTCTGAAACTTTGAGTATTAGCTGATTTATGGTTTGAAACAAATTGTTTTTAGTTTTAAAATATCACAAATCCGTTTTTTTTTTTTTTTTTTCACTGGTAAGTGTTTTATTAGATATTGACAGTTGAGAATTTATTTTTTTTATAGGGGGGGGGCATATCTGTAACAATTAAAGCGACCATTTTCTTAATTTGAAGAAATTTGTACACAAAAAAGAATTTTTTTAAAAAAAAAAAATTCTGACACGTTATTTGAGTAAAATTAGATAATTTAAAGTAAAATTAATCTGATTTGAAATGAATATTACTTAATATAGCATGAAAAAAATTATATACAACCAGTTATTTAATGATTGGTCCTGTTTATCTCTTAAGGTGATGGATGGCCAAATGAGTGATGAAGCAATGACAGCTTGTATGGCTGGCTAGAATTGAAACAAAATTTAAGAAATCTAAGTGAATGCGTTTGGTTTTTAACTACCTAGTAATTTTTACAAATGAACATTTTCTGCAATTATCTAATAATTTGACTTATTTACCTTTCGAAGATGCTTTAAGCAAAAATAAAAAATAGTTAAAATACTATAAAATTTTCTTAAATTAATTTCTCTTTAAAAAGACAAAATTCTTAAATCATGTGACCATTTCATATCATGTTTCTATTTTCATAGATGAAAATAGGGAACAAATTAAGTTAAAAAAAAAAAAAGACATAAAAAATTATTTTAAAAACAATAGCATAACTACGTTTATTAATCTTTTCAATTTTGGATTTGCAAATTTCATTTCTACTTAATTACTATGTCACATACAGGAAATATCTCAATACAGAATTTTACATGATTTTAAACTATTATAATTAAAATTTAAAAAAAAAAAATGAAAAAATTCTTGTAAAAATTCATTATTCATTAGTAAAATTTTATTTCTTCAGGCAGTAATGTCCTTAATATAACTTATTTACAAAAGTAATTAAAAGCTTTTCTAATTAAATGTCATAGTTTTATTGCATTCATTAGTTTTCAATTCCAAGCAGATTTTTAGTTTTTAGTTTTTTCCCAAACTTGCAGTTTGGGGAAAAAATTAGGTGATTTAGATTCTCCAAGAAGTCCTGCTTATAATGAATAATAAAAAAAAAAAAAAAAAATCAGGAAATAAAGGCTTTTTGTGAAATTTATTGAAATTGAGAAATGGGGGAGGGGTACCAAAATTTTCTGAGGGAAAAACAATTAAAAAATTTCATTTGTGAATAAGTCCTGAAAATTTAATTAAAATCAGACAATTATTTGATTTTTATGAGAATTTCAAAATCAATGTGTTTTCAACAGATAACCCCCCCTCCCAAAAAAAAGCGTTGTGTCACCCTGATGACATAGACAAAACAAGATTTTAACTAAAATTTCATCCATTTTAGAATGGATTAAAAATTTTCAGAAAAAAATTAATACTTTGGGCTTTCACTTTAATAATAACAAACAGTTTGACAATACCTTATTTTTATTAAGTTTGTTGTAGCTTCTTCATTACACTATGCTGTTTTCCTACAAAAACGTGCTTTGGCATTAAATTTACTATAGTTAATCATTCTTATGTGACAATGTTGTGTATGGACATCTGTATTTACAAAAATCAGTACATTTATGCACACAAAATATAATTCAAAATTCTTTTTATAATACTGGAGGTTGCTGAATTATAGTTAGCTTTTCCATTTATGGTTAGTAAATGTAGTTTTATTTAACAATATCATCTAACCTCTAGATTAATATAGAATTTTAAATTATTCTAATTAAAAAATTTTAAAAATGAAAAAAATTATTGTAAAAAAAATTTTAAGACAATAGTGTCCATAGTTAATATCTTATTCCTAAAAACAATTAACTCTAGATAACTATAGTAAATTTAATGCCAAAGTACTAAAATTCAATAAAACATTAGATTACTTAGAAATGTTTTCCAAAATTCTTTAAATTACAGCGTAGTTATAAAAAAAAAAAAATTATATTTAAAAAAAATTTAAAAAAATGCCAATGTTATATTCAAGTAATTTCTACAGATATGTTCCCAGTAGAAAAAAAATTCCAAACATAAGTCTAATGAGGTATTTGTCAGCACTTAAGAAAACCCACCCCTGTTTTAAAATTTACCTTTGTTGTGATAGATTTACTAAAATGGCTAAAATCAGCCATTTTTAGCAAAATCAAAATAAATTGTTCTAATTAATTTATTTTGATAAATGGAAGTATTTTGCTTATTGGAAATATTAAATTTAAGCCATTACCATGAAAAAGATTATTCATTTTAAAAAAATAATTTTAAACCGTAGGTACCTCCTTTTCTATATATATATATATGTATATATATACACACACACAAAAATTAGCTTTAAAAGCATTTAAGCTAGCTCCTGCGAAGAACTCTTGATTGGGATTTTAGCTTGTTCAGGAAAGTCTTTGTATATTCTTGACATTGGAACCTCTCCTGGCTGCCATTTGATCTGAGTTTTCATTTGCATGTGACTATTCCTTGCAACAACCTTTGCTCTTTTGACTTTTTTGCATAATTTCATTAACCTAGGGATCCAAAAGGTCATAATCTGTTCCTGTACATAGTGATTTTTCTAAGCATTTCTTAGATGTGGAACATTGCTGAAAGTTAGGATTGAATTCACTATTCAGTTGTAATTGATCTAGTGATACAAGCTTGCTATTATACATCGGTGTCCCTGTAATATATATATATATATATATATATATATATATATATATAAATAACAAAACCTCAAGCTAATCAAGGCAATATGTTTATGCAAGGGTTCATTAATAATTTGCTTCAGTCATTTCTAGAAAGTAATAAAATATTTCTAAACCTGTTAATGTTTCTACAAAAAAAAATTAATGCTATTTTAAGATTGTCTCTTGTAACAAAGGTTAATTGCCTAGTTTGAACAAGATATAGTGATAATTCCAGATCAAAATTAATCTAATACAAATTGATGAAGAAAAACTGTGCCAAGCTATTGACTTTGTGAACCACCTTCCTAAATGCTTCTTTCTTTGAAAGAATGCTAAGATTATAGTACAAAAAGTAAACAGACATTTGCTGATAAATACAATACAGAGGCTTGATGTTAATGTTTACTTGACATCATGCAATGTCAGCGACATTAAGAAAATTAAATTCTTAGTGAATTGGTAAGCATGGAATATTCAAATATTCTTAGATAACCTGAGGTTAGATAAAGATATTCTAGTCTGTCAATGTTTCAAAATGTATTAATTTTTTTACCACCCTTCATCTCATACGTGCAATTCCAATATTTTAAGTCATTGCAAAAAATTTTCAAATAAGTTTTTATTTACCTTTTCAGCCTTCCGTAATTGAAAGTAAACTAAGTGCAATTGAATCAAAACTGAGGAACCTTCATCTCAATGGCCATGTTGGATTTGATAGTTTGCCTGACCAACTGGTCAAAGAATCCGTGGCACAGGGGTTTTGTTTTAACATCCTATGTTTGGGTAAGTGAAAATGTTATTGACCAATCAATGTATCGGGTTTTCATTACAGAAATTTGATATTTAAAAAAAAAAAAAATATTCTACAAAAGGGAAAATATTTTAAATATATAAATTGTCTTAATGATGCAAATTATTGCAGTTGTTTGCTGTGAAACTAACTTGTTTGAATTGAACATTTTTTATTTTCATATCCAGCAAATGTGAAACTTTTTAACAATTAATATAACAGCAAATTTAAAACCTTGGATATATGTCTTGCATATATACATGGAGCAATGAATAAATTGTTTGAATGACCCAAAAAATGAAAATAACACTGACATCTCATTTTAACATATATATTACCAAAATTACACAGATATCTTGAAATACTAGTTAATATTTTCAATAAAATTGCCATTGGCTTCAACCACACACTTAAAACATTGGAACCTCCTGCAACTCTTCTGGATGGTCTCCTTGTTGGTGAATGCTGCCATAATCCTTGCCTTCAGTTCATCTTTGGTGTTACAAGGAGTTTTATTGGTCTCTCACTCAACTGTGCCCCACTTATAATAATCAAGAAGTTTACAGGTGGCCAGATGTGGGGGGTGATATGGTTGCAAAAAATGTCTGATAGCCGTGACTGGCTTCTGCTTGTGTGGCATGGTGCAGAGTCCTGTTGTCAGACATAGAACCTTCCAGCAGCTACCCTCTTCACCCAGGGAAATGCTAAATCCTCAAGGCACTTGATTTAGGTCTCCATGTTGAGTCTTAGGTCCTCACTAACAAGTTCAGGAGTTCTTTTATCACCCAAACACTCTGAAATGTTCATATTGGAGCTTCCAACGTGGATTGCATCATGGTTCTCTTCTTCTCAATGTCCAAACGATCCTACTATACTGGGCAGTTAGCAAAAACAAACAACGTGCATACACGAAATTAAAAAAAATATATAAAATGGCAATAATATACCCACCGCACTCTGTAATTTTTCTCTTTCTAAAAATAAGTTGAAAAAAAAATTATACAATTAAGCTGTTGTCTTTTTACAAATCTTCCCTTGAATGTTGGAAAGTCATAACACAATTTTGCTGCAAGAAAGATTACTTTTTGATCTGGAAATTTGACTTTTTTTTTTTTTTTTTGTAGGAGAAACTGGCATTGGAAAATCTACTTTGATGGATACCCTTTTCAATACCAATTTTGATTCCACTCAAAGTACTCATGATCTTCCTGGAGTGAAGCTGAAGTCTAATACTTATGGTAATATATATTTTTTCTCATTTGTGGCCCAATCAAAACAGATATAAAAGAAACCAGGTTAATAATACAAATTTAACATTTCTAATCTTTTTATAAAGTTATTGAATCAGTTACTTTAATTTAGAAAGATGTTTGTTTTATATCTTTTTAATTTTCTGTTTCCATTAAAACAACTTTTCCCCTTCTGCCTCTCTCTCTCCCCAAAATTTGCTTTTTTCTACGAAAACCATCCTTTTTAACCTTTTGCATTGTTATCCATACTGTTTAATACTTACTTTTTCATAGTTGCCCAAAATGCTGGCATCTTTATACTTTTTTATTATTTTATACATCTTTTGTTATTGTTCTCATACATAATATAGAAAAAAAATTAACTGTAGTTGCTTATTGAAATTGTTATATTTTTTTATTAATGAAATCATTGTTCAATTATTATTGATACCATAAAATCTGTTCATTAAGTAATCTTTTAATTCTGACAAAATTGTACTTTCCCATTTTTTATTATTGAAGATACAAACTTCATCTTCATGAATTAACCCTAAAGGAAGTGTTGATAAACACAGTTTTGCAATATATATATCTATAATATAGTTGAGAAACTGCTATTGAACAGAAAATCATAGTATTTTTATTTAATGACATTAAATTTTATTAATAAAGACTTTATATATATATTAATTTAAATCAATTTCTTAAACTTTTTATTTATCACATTTTGGACAATGTAGATATTAAATTTATTTTTTTTTTGCTGTTCTGCAAGGGAAAAAGACCCTTTTTTTACATTTTTTTTAATTTATTCTCAGAATTGCAAGAAAGCAGTGTAAGACTAAAGTTGACTGTTGTTGACACTGTTGGATTTGGGGATCAAATCAATAAGGAAGATAGGTAAGTGATTAACCATTATATATTTATATTACTAATGCTTATAGGTACTCAATAATTTACAGATATCATTACTCTTAATAACATGTCAAAACTAATTCATTCACTCACAATTTCTTAGAAATTATTATCTAAATACTTTTAAGAAGTTTGGCTGTACATGCTAAAATTATTTCCTTTCACAGATATAAAATTGTTTTATATATTTATAACATAACTGAATTGTGTGTGTATATATATATATATATATATATATATATATATATATATATATATATATATATATATATATATATATAATTATTTACTTTTGTATTGAGCACTATTTTTTAAAAATAACTAAAATACTAAGGGACTTTGGATTATTTACCTAACCAGTTCTTTCCTATTTTCTATATATTTTCACATACACACACACACACACATTATCAGGATGACTTAGGCAATAATACCCTTGGAAAAGGTATGAATCAATCTTTTCTTCCAGATACGGGTTAAATAGTATGCTCTGAGCTCTCTGGCTTTGCTTGGTAACCAGTCTAGAAGAGCATTATTGAAATGGATATGAACATTTTCTAAACTTATGTCAGCATTTTAAATTTTATTGATAAAGACATTTTATATATTCATTTAAATCAATTATACTTTTTTTTATTGCATTTTGGACAATGTACCCTTCTATCTGGAATGTTATAAAGTTGATTTGAATGGCTTTTATAGTATTTGCGAAACAAATCATTGATTATTTTTTTTTTCCTTCTTTTAAGACAGGTATATTCTAAGTAAAACTTGTGTGTTAGATAACTGTTTTATTTATTATAAATTATTTTCCATAAAGAATATACATAAACTTTTCAGTGTTAGATGATGGGACAACTAGAATATTAAAAAATGAATTCAAAGAATTTTAAATCACTATATTTAAAATTTGTGCTTCTTAAAACAATCAAAATTTTAAAATTTGAATTTAACTGCTCAGTAACTTCATGTTTGTTTTTAGCTTTGAAAATGTCTTGCATAAATATTTTCTACCAAATGTTGAAATTGTCAGATAAAAAAATTCAAGAATTATAAGTTAACTTCCAATGTTGTTGCTGTTTTTTCACTCTTTCACTGGGTTGCAATATAATTAATTCTAATGGCAGATCTGATGTGAGGCACATTTTATATTTTAGGAATATTAAATAAAGAAAAAAATATTCAGAATAATAGCATATTCCATATGGTCTGCAATTCAGATAAAATAGGTCAGATTTGGTTGACTTTCTATATTATGTACTAATATATTAATATCTCATCTCGGAAATCTAGGCATATATTTACTATTTAAATGAGCTTACATTATTTACATTTCCTTTTCAATATCCTTTTTTTATTCAGTTTTGTACACTTGGTAAAATATTTAAATGAATATTAGTAAATACCAAAAATACAGTATTGCTTAATATAATTCACCAAATGTCTTATCTTCTTATTTTATTAATGGCACCACAAAAGCATGTTGTAACTAAAAAAAAATTACTTTGGCAGAAACCAGTTACTGCTTTTCTCAATCACCTAAAAATTATTAAAATTATTAAAAATTATTATTTTATTCATATGGTCTGCAATTCAGATAAAATAGGTCAGATTTGGTTGACTTTCTATATTATGTACTAATATATTAATCTCATCTCGGAAATCTAGGCATATATTTACTATTTAAATGAGCTTACATTATTTACACCATTGTAAGAATGAATGCTAAATCAAAAATAATTTGTGTGTGTGTGTATATATATATATATATATATATATATATATATAAAAGGGATGGATTTCTTAAATGTTGTTTTAGTGGATACTAGTCTAAGTAGATGATCCACTTATTTATTAAGATAAATACTATTTAATAAACAGTCTACTCAAATACAAGTATCCATTTAAAATGTTTAACATATGTATATACATGTATATTACACACTATACTGTATACTACATAGTTAAATTCTTAACTATTTTTATGCCTCAATGAACAGCATTTGTGAATGCATAAAATGTTATTACTGCATTAGATTAAGTTTATATGCATCTCTTTAATATAAATAGAATTAAATTGTAACACTTAAATGCTTTGGAGCTGCAAAATGCTTAATATATTTTTATACTTCTAACACTTGTTGCAGCTGGAAACCAATTGTAGATTACATTGATGCCCAGTTTGAATCTTATCTACAAGAAGAATTGAAGATTAAGCGCTCTCTTCATACTTATCATGACACCAGAATTCATCTTTGTTTGTATTTCATTGCACCAACTGGTCATTCGTAAGTATCTTGAAGTTTATGTGATTGTTTTTCTTTTCTTCAAAATATATTGTCCCAGGAATCAACTACAGCTCTTATAATTATTAAGAAAGCCATGTAGCTTTGGAATTTAATTGGATCATTTATAACTTTCTTTAAGGTGAATAACTTTAAAATGTATTTACAGGAAAAAAAAAAATTCATTTAACTTCACTTTAAAAGTAAAGTTATCAACAGCAGTTCTCACTGTTTTTCAAGCCAAACCATTTCAGGTGGATGTACAAATAAGTAATATTAGCTGTTTCTATAAAGAAACAGCTAATATTACTTATTTGTCATTCATTAACTCAGTAGCCAGTACTTCTTTTGAACAAAATTTGAGATCTTTTTATTAAAACCTTTATATTTTTTTTCTCCCTAGATGGTATTAGTGTTGGTTGATTTTTAGTCAAATAAAACTTAATTTAATTTAGCTAATTTAAAACACAATTAGCTTAGATGACAAAATATTGTTTTAGAGAAAATTTATATGAGAGCAAAAACACTAATGAATTTTACTGAAAGTGAGGGGTCAATTTCTGAAGTAAAGTGTATGTAAACTGTTAATTTCAGAATAATTAAAATTATTGATCACTTCACTGATATGACCATTAAGAAATCATAAGTAAAAACTTTAAGCTCTTATGATAATTAGTACAAAGTTATTAAATGTTGATCCATTTGTTCCAAATCATCTAATATTAATGTTGAAAAGAAGGACTTGGTTTTGAAATATATTTTTTTTTCTTTCTTTATTTTTAGTTTGAAGGCTCTTGACCTGGTGACCATGAAAAAACTGGATAGCAAGGTGAACATAATTCCTGTCATTGCAAAGGCTGATACAATCACTAAAGTTGAACTGCATAAGTTCAAGGCAAAGGTATATCAACTGTTTTTATTTTCACTGACAACTTTGTTTGAAGGTTTACAGACACTCTACATGCAGACTAATTTTTAGTTACTTAAGTCTTGTTTATAAAGAGTTTAAGCAAACAAAATAAATTCTCACAGAATTCTGTGTACAGTCATGGTTTCTAACTGAAAGTTACAATTAATATACATGATGTCTCTAAATTCTGGACATAAGGCAAAAATGCATATTTTCAATAAATTAAATTTTCAACATTTTACTGAATATCAACAAATAACATGTTCCATAGGATTTCCATCCTTTATGTCCATTGAGAAGTACCAGTTCAAGTCTTTTGACGAAAACATTTAATTTGTGGAGGTAAAAATATATAGTTAATGAGATTTCCTGTGTGTCCAGACTTTAGGAACACTTTTTTTTTTTTTTTTTTTTTTTTTTTCTGTCAACAATTTAACATTATCTTCTGTGAAATGTTTTAAATTTTAAATTAAGCTACTTCAAATATTTACATTTATTTATTTGCTCTGAAATATCGAGCTGGAACAAAAATCTTAGTATATGAACTAGAAAATATACTTTAAGGCTTGTTTGGTAATTGACTTTTTTTTTATTTCTCATTGAAATAATATAAAATGCTTGAATGCATCAATATCTGTATAAAACATTATGTATATCTACTGAAGTTGTAATGCCTGTTGGGGTCAGTTGTCTCTCAGAATTCAAACTTCATTGTTGCACAATTGCCTTCTGCCAGGTTAAACTAATATTAATAATTACAATAAAAATCAACAGGAAATAATTTATAAAAAATTATTGTAATATGGTAAAACAAAGAGGGGAAAAAATGCTCAACTGGTTTTCAATCAGCTCTTAAAACTGAAAAATTGTGCACTGAACAAGATAGCACCAAAAATAGGATTTTTTTTAATTTGTGACATTCAGTACACTTGTTTGTAAAATCAACAAAGATATTGACCATTGCTGGACCCAGTGGACTGCCTATAGACAACCCATCTATTTGCATATATATAATCTTGTCAAAACTGATTTCAACAAACATGGCTGATTTCATCAACTTTAAAGGCAGCTACAAGAATATGAAACCTGAAACAAATAGCTATGGTACAAAGCATCAGCACAAATATTAATGGTCCTCTGAAGAGGAATACATGTAAAGATTTCTTGTGTCAAACAAGCATATAAACTTACCATCAGAACTAAACTGTATAAAGTCGGCAAAAATAAAAATTCCTAACACAGTTAATGATATGCATTCAAACACTAGCTGTAACAAAGTAGAACATTTTTGCTGCACTAATACCTGCAGAGAAAGAATTAGTTGCAAAAGAACATTGTCCTTAGAAGTTTGGAGTAAACCATTTAACCAGGTTTGTACCCACAAACCCAATAGCCTCATAGATTACTACCAAAAATTTTTCTTAAATCATCCTGAGCAAACTTTGAATATTTTGGATTGGTTCTTTCCAGTTTTACCTGGTCCCAATTTCAGAAATGTCCCATCTTCCAAAATTTACCATTTTGTTCATATAATCATTGTAATCCAAAATTAACACATGCAAATACTTATATTTAGTAATATTCAAAGATTTATTACCATGCAAAGAATTGTTAGCACTGAAGTGTTTACATTATTATTTAAAATAATCAACAAGGATACTAGCATATGTGTGGGTAAGGTCATTAAGTGCACTAAACTTCTTCAAAGATAAAGTTTGGATATTTAAGCAAAAAATATTTAAAATTCTGCAAAAATACCAAACATATAATTCAGTGGTGAGCAGATGACATTTGAACATGTTCAGAATACATTTGCCATTGGAATTAGGCATTTCTGCATATTAAAAATTGCATTTTCTAGTGATGGTTAGGTTGTGTGCAAAAATGTATATTATTATAAGACAAACCATGGATGAACCTCAAACAAAATTGACCCCTCCCCCACTCTTTAACTTTATCCAATGTTATCAGTAGTGCTCTGATGAGAAAAATAAAAAAACAGTTAATCATTTTTTTTCCTCCAGTAACTATAAAACAATATCCTTTTTTTTTATTCAGTTTTGGTAAAATATTTAAATGAATATTAGTAAATACCAAAAATATGGTATTGCTTAATATAATTCACCAAATGTCTTATTTTCTGTGATTATTAATGGCACCACAAAAGCATGTTGTAACTAAAAAAAAATTACTTTGGCAGAAACCAGTTACTGCTTTTCTCAATCACCTAAAAATTATTAATTTTATAAAAGTTTACTTTTTTCTTTTTCTTTTTTTTATAAAAACAATGGTCCCTAGGAATATGTACTTGTTAACCTCTCCATGGCATTTATCTACATAGTCTTCACAGCAAAAAATAGTTTGCTTTTGCTTTTGAGTATTGCTAATTTTCATGTGGACAGGGCTCTCAATGCTTTGGAAAACCTTCTAAACCTAAGAATGGCAGAGAACTTTGTCTAGTGCCACAATTTATTTGAAGTAACTTTTGTTTGACAAATTTTAAATGTGAGTTTTATTCATCAATTTTCAAACTACTCTTGTACCTGTATGAGGCTATTTATAAAAGTAAAAGTTTGTAAATGAAATCTACCATAATTTAAATATTTGTACACCATATATAATAAACAGATGCCCTATCAAATACTGTTCAATTAAGGCGAGTCTTTCAAATCTGTCCATGGCAGAAGCTAATCTCGGGAAGAAATTTAAAAAGCTGCTTGAAGATATTATGGACCTTATTTGGTGTTTACAAACATCAGTCTGCAGAATTTGTATAATATATCAGAATTATTCAGAGACAATGTTTCCTGATAATAGTATTGCTCAAGACTTTGTCTTTGCAACAAAATTGAGCTACATTTTGTAAATCCTGGTTTAGCACCTTCCTTTAAGGAACAGATCATGAACGACTTGGTACCAAAAGGTCCTTAACTGCTTCTCAAATTTGTTAATGTTTTGAAAGGTCATTCAATAAAGTTAGTTAATTCATATCTATTTTGATGAAGTTGCCAAAAGAGTAAAGTTTAGCTTGGTTCCCAATTCATGCAACATGCACAGGTAAATGAGTTTGACTTGATTTTAAAGAGGCCCACAAAGGATTGGATATTGTAAATAATTTGATACAATTATCCATGGATGATCCTCATGTTAACTGAGCCTTTCATAAAGAACTTGAAAAGTACCATTTACTGGAAAACTTAAATGCACCATCATTAATTGGAACTGGGAGTTGTGGACTTCATGTTGTATATGGCACTTTTAAAATAACATTGCACTGAATGGAACATTTGGTGGGGGAAATCTACACGTGTAATATTGTAATCATCATCTTAAAGATCCAACTACTTGACAGTAAATGATATAGAGGTATGACAATAATTCTATGTCATCTTTATTTCCTTGAAAATTTGGTGACCACAGATAGCTGTAAAATGGAACAGTTTATACCCAAGTTTTTTTGAATTGATTGTGAAAATATTTTAGTTGAATACAAAAGGATTTCCTCCAAAAGATGAGCAGTTTACTTTTCTGCTACAACTCTTTATAAAAAATTTTTTCCAGCATATTTTGAGTTTTAAGTGTGACAACAGGTCTGGTACATTTTTCATATTGTATCAGACTGAAAGCTATTGGCTGTTTTCCTTTTTGAAAAACTGAAGATACCCAATTATGTAGTGCTTTGTCAAACCTGATGTCTTAAAGGAAAATTAATCTATTTCAGCTCATAAATTTGAATTAAGACAACTGATGTTGATTTATGTATCAAAGCAGTTCTCTGAAAGTTGAAATCAACATAATAAAGGCAAGAGAAAGCAACAAAAATGTCTTAAATTAGTGAAGTGTCCACTTAAATACAGAGTGGCAATGACTCTTCTTTGTCACCTGCACACTTCATTTGTCAAATCTGAGACTCTGAAAAGATTTTCTAGATTAGTAAAAGAATCCACAAATAACCCTAAGGTTGGTATAGACATTCATTGTGCAGGAATACTAATGAAAGTTCCTATAACCTTTGAAATAAATAAAAAAATGGTTGGAAACACTTATTAGCTTAAGAAGACTAAAACATAAAGAGCAGAAAAAAGACTCAACATGAAACTCAAAATGAAGAAATCTTTGGTTAACAAAATGCAAAATGAGATATTGAAGTTTGATAATTTACAGCAACATTTGTGAAAATAGTTTCCGAAACTTTTTTATATATGATTTTTATGATCGCTATTATCTATTGAGGAGATTCAGATGTTCAGTATTGAAAATAGCAAATCTTAACTTCCAACTATCTGATAGGTAATCCAACTTAGCATGAGTATAATTTTATCTTTGAAAATGCTGGGAAGTTTGATATCTGCTGAAGTTTCAATTTTGCTTTGCTATTATCATTATTTGATTTGCAGATATTAGGTTTGAGAACTCTTCTTACAATACATATTTGTTAATTTGTTTATAGATTCCTTTATCTCTAAAGGATGTTTTCTTTATCATACAGATGATTATTATTTCTTGTGAATGCTATCTATGAGCTCCTGATGAAAAATATTAGGTGATTTTTTTTTAATTTTTTTTTATATCAAATGGTATAGGGGGGGAAATAGGATTGACAGAGGATCTTTTATTTCTCAACATTCTGATGGAACAAGAGATGTACATATGTTTATCTAGAATTCCTTTCTTGAATATTCACCCCCTCTAAGATAATGCAGAAATAAAAGATTGCAAAATACTCAGATACTAAGATTTCTGTATTTCAAAGAAATTTAAATCCAGTTAAGGGGGGTATTTTTATTCAAAATGTTTGTGCTTGAAATCTTACATATATTTATATTAAATATGATCAGAGAATTGAAGATTTTTTACTTTTGAGTCACTAAAGCTATATCCTCAATTTATTTTTGGTGAAGTGTTGCTTCCCCTTTTAAATTTTATGCTCTTTAACTCTTGTATTGTTCTTTTCTTATTTTTTTTCTTTTTTTTTTATCAATTTTATTATCTTTATAAAAAAAAAATTATTTTATATGGGAACTATTGAATGATATTTACAGATAATGTGTGAACTGAGGACCAATGGTGTTCAAATCTACCAATTTCCCACTGATGATGAAACTGTGAAAGAGATGAATGCCACCATGAATGTATGTTATGATTACTACTTTAATGAATTTCTCTTGCTTTCCCAATTTCTTTATTAGGGTCTAATTAAAGTTTTTCTTATTCATTTCTTATAAATTTATTTCACTTTTTGATTTTTTTTCTTCCTTTTTACATCTAAACAATTTTTTGTATTGAACTTTATTTTCTTAAGAATTTTTGAAAGGTAAAAAAGTTTAATTTTTTAGATATTCCTGTATATAGAAATGAAAAATTAGGCTATAAAATCCTTGTAATAACAATATCATAAAACTTATTGGCTATATTTCTGTGCTTTCTTTTAATCTGAAAATTGTTCCATTTGTTTAATGCAAGATATATTTCTTGTGTGTGTATATATAATATATATAATTTTTCATCAGTTAAGTCTGGACAATCAATTATCTATAAACAGTTGGATCTTGTAGACCTTACCAGTTCAAAATTTATTGAAGCCTAAAAACCTTTGCATTGTTAATCTAAAATATACAATGGGTTTATGTTGAGTACATCTTTGGGGATAAGATATATTTAAAAATTGTATATATTGTATATATTTTTAATTTTTTTTTTAATTAGGGCCACCTTCCATTTGCTGTGGTTGGTAGCAATGATGAAGTTAAAGTTGGAAACAAAATGGTGAAGGCAAGGCAGTATCCATGGGGCACAGTCCAAGGTAACTATTGAAAGATAAACAAAATTGGATTATAACTTTAGTTTGTTTACTCTGCAAGCTTTTTAATAAGAAAAAATATCTGTTCTGCACAGTTGCAATCATTCAAAAAATGTCTTTACTCAGATTGCTTGGCATTAATTGTTTGCACTTTCCTCTTAAAAAAAAAAAAATAATAATAATAAAATTATCAAATACATGTACATAAAAAAAAAAAAAAAAAAACCTGTACGACCCCCCCCCCCCAAAAAAAACTGTCGACTTCCACTACAATGGCATGGAAATCTTTAATAAATTAATAGATGTGGCAAAAAATGAATTTTAATCCATTATCAATATTTTGTAATTGTTCACAAAATATTTTACTATTGACCGGCTGTTTTGAGTGTCCTGTATTACTTTAAACAGCAAATGGCCATTTTGGCTTGTACATCAGCAATCTACACATTTAAGACATTTCATTACAATAGATGAACAACTTTTATCTGAGTAAAATCATTAAATCTTTCAGTAAAATAATCATGTAGTCTTGATATTTTTTAATGTTAGATTTACTGATAGATATATATTTGTGTATAATTTATTTCTTCACCCACTTTCAATTGTACACAGACAATTTACAGAACTTAAGTTTTTTCTTTTTTCCTTAAAAGACTAATTCTATAATCTATAAGATTCATTTTCTGTGCTCATTTTTTTTTTTCTTTCTAAGAAATATTTATTTTGATATTTAAAATAAAATTAAAAAAAAATTATCATTTTTTTCTTTCATTTGACAGTTGAAAATGAGAATCACTGTGATTTCGTGAAACTGCGTGAAATGCTTATCCGAACCAATATGGAGGATCTGAGAGAGACTACACACAAGACTCATTATGAACTTTATCGGAGACATAAGCTAGAAGAAATGGGTTTCTCTGACAATGAATCTAAGAGGTAATTATTTCTCTTATGTTTTAGTAATGTCAATATTCTTAATGTCCTTCTATAGGTGTCTTAAAACTTAAGGACATGGCACAAGCTCTCAATTGGTTTCATGTTAAAATCAGGATTAATTCCCTTGGATAATGTCAAAAACGGCGTTTTTTTTTTTTTTTTTTTTCGTTTTTTTTTTAAGTCTTAAAACGCGGAGTGGGTCATTGTGTTACTTTTGCTTCACTTAGAAAATCTTATTTTCAATGAATTGCTATCTTTATTTAATACAATTGATTATCTGAATATTTCACTTAGTCATATATCAAATGAAAATGTTTAAGACATTAAGGGAAATTTAACATTTACTTAGATATTCTGAATATTTCAAGTGTTTATATAGATTTTTATAATATATAAAACTCGGTTGCTATCCACTCAAAATGCTAAAAGTTAAAATTAAACTTGGATATGAATTGTGTGTGTAAATATTTTGTATTTTGCCATATCTATGATTAAATAAGGAACAAGTTGGTAAATCTTTGTAAATTTGACATATTTCGTCAGATCGTTTGGAGTGGGACGAAGCAAAGTTGTTTCAATTTTTAAACTATGTATAGTTTTCATTGGTTGGGTTTGTGTCAGGTATTTATTTTTATGGCATTAATTTTTTTGTTTGTGTGTGTGTGTACTTTTGGGGGAGGTATTACATGTATATTTATGGCCCATAAAAATGAATGCATGGAATTTACCCAACCAATGAAAATGAAACAGAATTTAAAAATCAAAACCACTTCACTCCATCCCATTCCCCTCTCCCAAATTCTGATACAGTTAAATCCACATTAATAAGATAAATTCACCTATTGCCTTGTTTGGGGTGAAAAAAGAGGGTGGGGGTTAAAGAAAGAAAATCTTCATCTATCAGTATATCTTATATCTTGCCCAAGTTGGTTCTTGCTTAACATAACTAATTTGCATATTCAGCTTCTAAAATCTAATTTTGAAATGTTTTTACTCAATTTTAAATCTGGGCATTTGTGATCTTTATCAGTTTTGTTGATAGCTTTTATAATTGCTGAGATTCAAATAAAACTATTTCCTGTCTTGAAAATAGTGATCACTCAGCATTTAGATTACAACTTGGGAGTAAAAGAAACTAAGCACTTAACATTTTATAATACTATATTTTGAGAAACCAGCAAATATAAAATAACATGCAGTATCTGAAATAAAGGCTTACCAAAGAAACTGCTTTAACTGCTATAATTCTGGTAATATTTCAAGACATACACATTTCTTTAAAAGAAATGACTATAGTAAATTGAAGGGACTTTGTTGGCCTGCACAATCATTGCTACTATGTATTAAATACTGCCAGTAATTTGTTGACACTTAACTAATTTTGACTTTTTCAGCCTCTCAGAGACCTATGAATTAAAACGTCAGCAGCACTTGTCTGAACTCCAGAAAAAAGAGGAGGAAATGAGACAAACATTCGTTATTCGTGTCAAGGAAAAGGAAGCTGAACTAAAGGATGCTGAAAAGGAGGTAAAAATCAAAGAAATTTTAAAATCTAGTGCTATAATTTCATTAAGAAACTTTTTATTTGGCTTTTGAAAGAAGTTCACAAGAAATTAAAGAAATGTCATACAGAGATATAAATTATAAATACAATTTCTTTTATGAAAGTCAGTTTTCACAAAGTTGATATTAACTAACCAATATTTAAAATTTTCAGGATATATTATGAGAAATATCTTGAGTTTTAGCTTTTTAATATCTTAAATTTAATATAGAATGGAATATGCAAAAAACATCACAGAAACATTTAACAAATATCCTATATACCTGAATAAATTATTTTACATAATATACTATAACCTTCAACATCAGTCTTTCATTTTATTATTTTACATTTTAAACACTACTTGAAAAAAAAAAATTGACAAAATGGTGGGTTTTTCTCTTGATGCTATTACTGTATAATCCCTAAACTCCATTTTTGTTAAAATTCTAAATATGGTGTTTTAAAACACATTGCTGAGGGAATCACAAGTATACAGTAATAGCAATGGAAAGAGGAAAACTGTCCTTTTTGATATACTTTTTTTTCTTTTTTGAAGGGGAGTGCCATTATTTCTCCAGAAACCTTTACTTGAATATTGTTTCCATTCTCATATGCATCACTTTTAATGATGGGTCACAAGTTTTTCTTAAATTAATATCTAGAGACCATTCCATTGATTTTGGTGTCGTTGAAAACTTTTTGAGCAAAATAGGCAATAGTAGACTTTTCAAAATATGAAAAGCATAGTCTTGCATAGCTTTACCTAAAAGCTTCAACTGTGACCTGTACTTACCAAGACAAAATAATGTCTTATCAAAAAAATAATTCTTTGCATTTGTCATTATTTGTAGAAGTCAGTTTTCATGTACTTCTTCACTCAACATGTTTCTCTTTTTGTTGACATAAAAAGCTGATAATTTGGCTGTTGGCTGCTTTCATATCTTTAAAATAATTTTCTTAATATTCTGCATCTTTTTTTTCCTACTGACATTTGTGTCACAAGCTTCTTCAAATATTCTTTTGTTTCTAATTTTTTTCAAATCTCTCCCACTTTGTCATTCTTAATGCCAACATTTTTTCATTTGCTTTTTAGAATAAATCTGTAAATATTTCACACTTTAAAATCCATGGCAATCTTTATCAAGTACATTCAAAATTATGCAAAAGGATATTGTAAATCTTTAGTGTCAAAAATAATGGAGGGAAATCCTAAAATATGTTCTAAAAGCAAAAACATTCTACACAGTTATAAGCAAATGGAGGCCATTTTTGTTGCTACTTTGCATTTTGACAGTCCCAGATTACTAGGGAATCACTACAAAATTATTTAAGATATTCAAAGGCTGACAATAATTGTCACACAGCTTGAATAAAACTCATGAAATAGCAAAAAAAAAATGCTTAAAATTGAACATCGAAAACTCTGATATATCATTTAAAATATCAGCACAAATCCAAAGTAATAAAGCAGCATGAAATGGTTCAAATTAAGTATATTGTCTAAAGTTGGGGGAGGGATAAAAGATCTGTGTGGCTATATTCAAGAAGGTTGATCAAAGTAAAATCCACACTAAATTCTCTACCATGTTACAAAATGTCTTGAACCTGATATTCCACTTCCTTTTGAATCCATTTCAGAAAGTAAAAAATGTACAATTGACTGAAAAGTATTTGAAAACTGTCCCGTTTTGTTGTCCTTTTTTTTTTTTTTTTTTCCCTCCCCCTTCTCTCTCTCTCATGATAGTTACCATGTACATGAAACTCGGCAGAAATGAGTGTAAATGTTAACTACTAGGCTTCTCTTGATGTGTCGGGTAGATAGTGGAGGCTGGTTTAGAAAGGGAGTGCCATTTTCTGTATGACCAAGGGATTAGTAAGGTGACCCTGTTTAGACTGAATTACAAAGTGTATATATATATATATATATATATATATATATATATATATATATATATATATATATATATATATATATATATCTTGTACTTTAAGAGAAATTTCAGAGCCAATGATTCATGGGAAAGGATCTTAAATTTCAGAGTAAATGATTATCAGATTTTTTTTCAAAATTACATATTGATAAACTTTTTTTCTTGCCTTAATTTTAATGAGGAACCATTTAATGGATTTTAATCAATATAGGATTAGGCTCTTTCTGCCATGTTTAATAATTTTAGTGCAATAAAAGCAGAGGAATTGCAGAAAAGAAAAATGCTTTTAATTAGCATGCTTGGTATTTCCAGGCATTATATAATGCCATTCAAATATTTTTCATATATATATATATATATATATATATATATGTTGTTTTTTGTATTTTTTTTTTTTTTAGATACAAATATTTAAGTGCTCTATTTATAATACACAGTATTAACATTTACTGGCGTGAATGTCAAAAATTTCATACAAAATGTGTCATCTGACAGGAAGCAAATCTGTATCCTACCATGATATAGCCTGATGTGCTATCCCATTTAATTACAGAGGAAGCATCTGGTTAGCAAGGTCAAACTACTGTTTTTTTTTTTTTTGTTGTTTTTTTTTTGCTAACCAGATACTTCCCCTATTGTTAAATGGTTTGGCATGTCGGGCTATATTACGGCTATGTGTAGGATACTGGTTCTATTCTTGTCAGTGGACACACATTTTCTGTGAAATTTCTCAGGCATTCAAGGTGGTAAATGTTAATATTATTATAAACAGGACATTTACTTAAATATTTGTATCTATGAAAAATAATGTATAAACAATATATTAAAATAATTGTTGGACTTAGTACATTTCATCATATATAAATTGACTGGGTAAATATACATATGTATGTGAGTGATCATATGCAAATACATATAAATATTCTGTAGTGTAAGAAAACTGCTCAGTTTAAAATATATATATATATGATTTACAATCAACTTGTATACACTATAAAACCAAGTTGTTGTAGATATTTCTAAAAACTTGTTTAAATTTGTTTTATATCATATAATCTGATAATTTTACCAAAGTTGATTTCCTTTTTTTTTTTTTTTTTTTTTTTTTTTTTTAAACAAATTTATGACAGCATATAGGACTTGCCATCAGGTAATATGATTAACAAAGGATACAAAAACATCTGCAAGGAAAACTGTATGTCATGGCTAACTTCAGTTTCACAAGCAGCCATTGTAAACTTCAATAGAATACAGTGCTATTTAATTTATGGACTCACCAGCAGTATGTCTAACACTCTTCTGGCAAGATGGATCAATAACCTTATTTGGTCTAATTCTTCATATATGAATTAGACTTTGGTCAAAAGCCTGACTAGTCTCACCAAATCACAATCCAATGTGATTCCTCCTCCTCCTCTCTCTCCCCCTCCTTCCTTCCCACCAGGATTAGGGATAAATAAAAACAAAAAAAAAAACACTACCACATGGAATGCTGTGTATCTTGTATAGTGCATTGACTGATGGATTGATTATCATCCTTATTGGGCACTTGTTCTTACATTAGACACTTGTGGCACTAGCTACTAACTTAAGTTACAGAATATCCTCAGGTTATGTCAAACTAGATATACAGCATTTTATGGTTACAGTGCCATCTCCCATAATATGTTGTTACATAGCACTATATGAGGAAGACAGTATTGTTTCTTCACTGGCAGTATGCCATATTGGTTTCTGCTACATTCGCTATCTGTCAATTTTGGAACTTTTTGCCCTTCATTATGGCACCCAAGCATAAGACAGATTCATGGGTGCTGATGTAGGTGAGTTCTGACCTACATTGAAAATCAGGTTGTCATGCCATAGGAACAGATCTTTAATGCAAGTTGAGGACCACCTTTAGTGAAATATTTTTTAAAGAGAACAGGAGGAATGATGCACACATTGATTCTAATGGTCCTGGGAGTTGAAACAAGGGGCCTTGCCTTCTGCACTATTTCTTCCCAAATGGTTCGAGAGTAGGTTATTGTGATCTAGTGTTGTGTTCAACCTATGGAATGGTTGGCCAAATTTTAAAGAATTTTAGTAATACTTTTTTTTTTTTTTTTTAACTAATTACAGTAGCAATTAGTCTAATTCATAAAATACAAATTTGTACATATATCGGTATCTGTTCATTTTAATCTTCCATGTAAATTCAGTTAAACTCCCATCAGGCCATCTTCAAGATGTGAGATATATAAGATAATTTTAAGGTATGCTGTATTTATGGGTAAAAGTGCCCAATATCGGATTGTATATAAGTGTAAAATCTGGTATTAAAGTCAACACCTAGCAGCAACAGTTGGTTTCGTGCTTGGGCACAATCTTTAGGAAATATATAAAACTCTTCTCTTGGTATTTTGCTTGTTCATTATAGATTTTATACTTCATAATATAGTATTTCCTACTTTAACTATTACAATTTCATTTATGTTCTCTCTAAACCGTATAATAAATGCCTTGGTGCCTCCATGCTTTCCTGGAAATCATCATCTGTTATTCAAGTTTTTAAGAGCTCTGGTGAACTGGCTGATCCTTCCAACTATCACCCGATGTGCCTTCTACCTCTTTTTTGCGAAACTCCTAGAGGCCCTAATCGATACTGAATTGGTTTATCTCTTATTGCAGGGCCTTTTCTCAGACAAGCAATATGGCTTTTGTTTGACTGTCAACTGTTGATGTGTTGATATTTATGAAAAGTTTATCATGCTTTAGATAAAAACTAAAGCCCAGGCTGTTGCATTGGACACCTTGAAAGTCTTTGACAGGGTCTGACATTCAGGTCTTTTCCACAAGCTGAAAAGTTAGTGTCTCTGGGCACTAATGACCTGAATGGCCACTGTGGATCCTTTCAACTTTGTATCTATGCTGATGACACAACAATTTCCTCCTGCCTCGATAGAGTAGAGCTTATCAGTCTGACAAGATGAAAATGGCAACCAATGTCCAAAAGAAGCTCAAGTCTGTTGTTAACTGGGACAAAAGATAGTTTCTTGTTAATTTTAACACTCCAAAACTAAATTTCTCTCTATTAATCATCTGAGAGACCTTTTTGCTGCCTTCCATCAGCATGGCTGATGCTATTCTCCAGGAAAGTGACTCATTGTGCCTTCTTGGGCTCACATTCTCTGGTGATATTAAGTGGAAAGATTATATTGAATCCATTGCTAGGTCAGCTGCCATTCACTATGTCAGCTGCCATTCACTATGTCAGGCAAGAAATTTTTTTCTCTCCAGAATCCATCTTACATATCTATAAGCCTACTGTTTGTCCATGCTTAGAATATTGTTGTCACATATGGTCCAATGCACCTGATATTTACCTTGATCTCTTTAAGATCCAAATAATAAACTACAATGTTATTGGTCCTGATCTGGCAGCTCAGTTCCAATCACTTTCCCATTGCCATAAGATTGCTTTTGTGTCTTTTCTATAAGTACTTCCATGGTAATTGTCTGGATGAGCTCTTTCCTATGGCACCTAGCCTTTTTGAATTAAAGTGCAGTTCTAGACTGGCATCATGATCTCAGCAATTTACAGTTAAGTTGGCTAGATGTAACTAGATTAAGTTCTATGCTAACAGTTTCTTTTCTCACTTGTGGAACTCAATTCCGGCTTGATGCTTTCCAGCCAACTGTAATCTGCAAAAATTTAAATGCAATGTCAATTGCTATCTACTATCCTCCTGATTACTCTTCTCTTTCTGCTCATCATTAATGTTTCTGTTAATTCTTCCACACACTGTAACCCCCTCATCTTTTAGTAGCATTACTGCCTTGCTTGGAGTGATTCTGATTATTTTTTTTTTTTTTTTTAATGTATAGTTTAGTAACTAGAATGTAACTGAAAATATTGCATAGAAATTTTTTGAATAAAATGGTTGCATGCAAATGTATCATTGCAATTTAGACAAATCATACTTAATGAATATTTCGTTATGTAGATAATACATTTTCAACATTTTAGATGCAAAAACAAAATTGGTTGCCATTGTCTCAAATGCCTGAGTGGGTTTATTTTTACTAATTGATGCTTTCATGAAATTATTTTTACCATAAATTTTAAATTGAGGTCTGTTTACAAAAGAATTTTTTCTTTCATTTCAGCTTCATGCCCGTTTTGAAGCTTTGAAAAAACAGCATAATGAAGAAAAGAAAAAGCTGGAAGAAAGCAAACGTAAGCTTGAGGATGAAACCAACTTGTTTAATCAACGTAAAGCCAATAGTCAATCTCAATCCCAACAATCAACCATGAGCAAGAGCAAAAAGAAGTAAATGCTTCTAACACTTTCTGTTCAGATGCTGCAACCAAATCCTCCATTCTTGCGTCCATTCTGCCTATAAAATGCACTTGGAACCAACATTACCCTATCTTACCAGCAAACATCTCTACATTTTTTTCCTTAAATTGTTGTTTGTCTGCATGCACTTGGAATTCTATTATGATAAATAAATGACCAATAACACACACACACACACACACACACACACACTACAATATTGTTCATAAAAAAATTTAAAACATTGCATGCTTACCTCAAAAATATATTTGAGTTTTTCACTACATCCTATCATTTTTTTTTTTTTTTTTTTTTTTTTTTATGCTGGTATTATATCCCAACAATTGGATATCATTTATACAGGAGGGAAAACTAAAAAGGAATTTTCCTTTTTGTTTTTATTTTTATTTTAATGTCAACAGTAAAAAAAAATAAAGCCCGAATCAGTGTTTCTTTATATGTTATTACTATTACTAATCTTAATACTGCTGTCCAGCAAAATGTTTTGTATTATCATTCTCCTCTTCTTTTTCTCTCTCTCCTTTATTCTGTTTCCTTCTTTCATGTAACTTCAGTATCTGTCATTGTTTTAATGTGCAATAAGATAAAAAAGCTCTTTGGCCGTACTCTGATAAACAAAATATTCTTGTGTCAGAGGCCAAAGCACAGCTACTGCTGCTGTCATTTCCATAGTACCTTATTTATAACTCCCTATGCTATTTTTATTCATTTGGAAATGTAAAACTGCAAAAAGTTGGAAGAAAAAAAGACAAATAGAATTCCATATAATTTAGCAGTCATATTCATTGTTAGTATCTGTAGTTGACACTCATGACAAATATCAAAATTGTATTCATTATTTTGTTCAATAAATTTTATATCTTTTTGCTACCATTCATATATGATTTCTTTCTTTTTATTTTTTTTATAATCCAATTTCATTATATAAATCGTATACAATTGTGAAACCAATACATCACAATAATTATCAAGTTGTGGAATTGTGTTGTTAACTGGTTTCTCACTTGTTTTTTTTTTTTTTTTTTTTTTTTTTTTTTTTGTTTCAAAGATTGTTTCAAAAGTGATGGAATTTTTACTTATTAATCAGATTTTATTACATTATTTTTAGCAGATACTCATATTTGAGTTGATGCTCTGTTTATTTATGTAAACAATATATTTTCCTCTACTGGCCTAATATTCAAGAAATCTTATTAAAGAAAATGTGCTTTCTGGCTGGATTCAAATCAGCATCCCTACTTGAGAAGAAACCCCCATTCAATCTGACGTACTTTAGACCAACTTGCCTACAGTGTGTATTGCTGATCAAGCAAAGTTTATAAAGCACTATGCAAATTAGCTTGATTAGTGACATGCTCTATGGCCCAATTTGTCTAAAGCACATTGGATCTAACAAGTTATAGAATGACCTTTTCCAATATTAGAACACACACACACACACACACACACACACACAGAGGGTGTAACAGTAAAATTGTCCAATTCTTAGATTAAGCTTTGAATCATTATATCTTAGAAATGATTAAAGGTATCATACTGGATTACTAAGGTTTTTATAACACTATTAGACCCTTCTACTTTGGACAATAAGAATGTCTTTAGCTCTAAGTTGAAATGATGATGCCTCTTGCTGATATAATCTGATCCAACTTTCCTTGCTACTGTTCGTTTTTCTTTTTTTGCTTTTTTTAATAAACTTATTCACTGTTCTCTTGATGGTACTTTAATGAATGTCCATACCATTACTGAAAGCCTGAATGATTTTTTTTTTTTCCTCACACCATTGCTCAGTTAGGAAGGGTTGTGATTTTTTTTTTTTTTTCCTTTCTCCTACAATAGAAATTTTTATAACTTGTAAATAAATTTTGGGAAATCAAAATATTAATTACGGAATCCATAGAAAGTCACCTATGAAATAAAAATAATTTGTATGAAAAATAAGGACCTACGTATATAAAATTGTCGACAAAAGAATTATCATTTGAACTTTTAGAAGGTAAGCTTAAAGTGCTATACTTAAATGCAGCAACCAATTTTGAGTTCTTTTGTAGTTTATTGTTGCCTATCTCATATGGCAGCAATATACCTTGCAAAAAGAAATCTCTACCAACAGAAGATTGGATTACAATAAAAAAAAAAAAAAGCCAAGGCTGCATGGGTGGGGGAGAATTCCCATGCAAATGAAAACTCAGATCAAACAGCTTCCAATGCTGAGAATATGCAAAGATTGTTCAAGAATTTGAGTCCCCAAGTCCCAATCAAGACCCCCTCCACAGGAGCTAACTTAAATGTGACTCCAATTTAAGCTAGTAAGTTAATAATTATCAATACTCACTAGAAAAATTACAATACAGAATAGTTTGAACATTACACTAATTCCATATATGTCAGGTGATTTTCTTTCTTTTTCTTTCTCCTAAGCAATGCACAAGGTCAAAAGTGTAGGGCACCCAGTGAGGATCAAACTCACTAAGTTGTGATTTTTCTAGCAAGACAAGCTTGCTAGGTATTACACCATGTTGAGGTTCCTAATGCCATATTTGTATGTACTAGGATTTTATCAAGCTACTAGACATATAAGAGTTAATAAATTGGCCACTTGAATTTTATACAGATCTAAAAATAACCTGTGAAATTAATTTTTTTGTAAAACTAATTGGTAATTATTTAATAAAAAAATATTTCAGTCTTGCACATCATTTGGTTAGGCATCTTACTTATTACGACTTCCTTTTGGACAAACAATATGGCTTCCTTTTTGGATGGGTGACCACTTAAGAATACAAGGTGATCTAAGCTTGAGTTTGGATGGTTTGGAGTTGTTTATTGGGGAGCAAAGTTCCAATTCCAGTTACATTCATTATGTGTTAATTAGACTTGTATCAATAAAACCACTATTAACTCCAAAGATAAAATGAAATTGCATATAAAGTACTTAAATTTTGGCATTACATAACCCATATTATCAGTAATATAACACCATACTGAACTGCTTAATAAGTAGTTGGTAGCAACTATTACTCAGAAAGTTACGATGCTTGTCTCTGTTGGTAAGTTGCATGATTAAAAGAAAGAAAAACTTGTAATTCCAACGAATGATTTATTTTTTATGGAAATATTTCGGCTAACGGTTGCCAGTCTTGGTCACTCCTTAATTTAAGTAAAACAGCATTTTGTACTATTTTACTCAAATTAATGAGTGACCAAGACTAGCAATTGCTAGCCAAAATTTTTCCATTTTAAAGAAAAAAAAAAAACACTTGTAATTTCAATGAATGATAATTTTTTTTTTTATCATTCATTGAAATTACAAGTGTTTTTTTTTTTTTTTTTATTTAAAACTAGAAACTTAATAGCAATGTTTTTTTTATTTTTTTATTTTATACTTTCTAGCTTAAGCTGAAATTCTTTATAAGGGAATTTTTTCTTTATTGTTACTATATAGTCAATGACCTCTTTTGCAATGTGATTACCAGGTGATTTATTCCTGAAAGCTTAACAAATAACATTAGTTTTTAACAGTAATAGATTTTACATTGGCTTTTGTTAGTTAATGCAGTTACTTACATTACATTTATCACATATGTGATAAATTAATATTTTCACAAATGTTGTTTTTTTTGTTTGTTTTTTTGTTTTTATCATTTCATCCAAAAAGGCCATAAAGCTACTAAGATGCAAGGAGTTACTGAGAATGAAAGAGTGAGTAAAAACATTGATAATCCTTCACTTAAGTGGTGTAATATTCACTGAATGGTATAAAATCAATAAGACCTATACGTTTATCACAGTTAAGTATTATTACCGGTAATGGTAGAATACACGTCAAATAAATGCTCAAAACATGGAACTGTTTTTTGTACCACGGGATCCACAAAATGCTACTGATCAATAATAATGTCAAGAGAATATATCCCATGGTTAATTTCCAACATGAGCAGCTCAAGTTGAATATATCACATAATCACTACTTTCTGAGTCTCTACTCATTGATCTAGCATGTCAACTAAGAAACACTTGTTACATTCTTCCTAAAATCAGATATTCTTCTGGTTTATGCTACACTAATTTCCATCACTGGCCAGATGTGAATGCTCTGAACTAAAATTCTGTCAGCTGCACAAGTCTCCACACATACCTTCCATTTTTACTCACACACTCAAAGAAAAAATAAGCAATACAATCCAGAATTTCTACCCAATAGCACCCACTCCTGTCTAAAGAAAATAAAAATAAAAACTTTAGTCTAAGAAAAAACGTAAAAGCTCATCAAAGGGACATTTTGGCAGTTGGACATCATCTGGGTTCACAAACATCATTGGAAAGAGACCTCTCATCTCCAAAAGACATCAGATACAGCTAGCTCCCTAAAGAACATCATTCCAGTAAGTCACAACTCTTGTACACCTCACTGGATACCTTTTAAAAAAGACTCCACTTATCTTCTTTTTTTTTTTCATTGAGAGACATCTATACTGATTTATTATTTTTCTTATTTTTACATTAATACAATTGTTTATTTCTTTAAATTTTCCTTGTTTCCTCTTTGTTCTGCCACTATATCCTTATCATAACACACGTTCCCAAACTCCACTACTACTGAATACCAAATAGCCAGGACACTATTGGTCACGGTGATAATGAAAAAAACATTTAAAGATATAAAATGACAGTTTATTCTATTCCCTTTATGTGAAGTTTGACAAGTTATTTTAAACTGCTTAAAAGATTACTGAAACATTATTAAGGAAAGAGGACAGTAAAAGAAGAGTATTTAATGAGAAAGATGATAATTGACAATGCATTTTACTAGGAATTTAAAATACTATATTTGCTGGACTATGGGTACCTCAGTGGGGTGTAATGGTTAGCAAGCTTGTCTCGCTAGATCAGTTACAACTGAAAAGTGAGTTCGATCCTCACTAGAGGTCCCATACTTTCAGCCTTGTGCCACATCTAAGCTATGTTTAGAAAATAACTATTTGCTGGACTATTGGACACAGATTCACCCCCGCCCCCAAATAATGGTTAGCAAGCTTGTCTCGCTAGATCAGTTATGACTGAAAAGGGAGTTCGATCCTCACTAGGTGCCCCATACTTTCAGCCTTGTGCCACATCTAAGCTATGTTTAGAAAATAACTATTTGCTTGACTATTGGACACAGATTCACCCCCCCACCCCAAAATTATCCACATCCTGGGTAAGAAAAAAAACTACTTCCAACAGCAAGGCCTCTGATCAGGAGGTTTTGAGAAGCGTGAAACCACTTCTCAATTGCCAGTGTTCCCAGGTCCACCCTGACCTTGGGTGGTAGCACCTGTTAGGGTCTAAGATATGGACAAATAGTTACCCCCACTCCAAACTGGGGTTAAAATACTATGAAAGTGTAAAAATAGATTTTAATACCAGCAATACATTTTTGTAAAAATATTACCAGCAGTGAATTTTTGAAGAAAAAAATTATTACCAGCAATGAATTTTTGAAGGAAAAAATATTACCAACAATATATTTTTGGAAAAAAAATATTACTAGTAATAAAAATCTTGTCGGCATTAAATAACCATTGAGGTTGATATATATGCCATAAAACAAACCAAACCAAACAAAAAATTACCCTGTATTCAATACAGCAGTATCATTGTATGAGAAGGATATGAAAACTATCTGAATTTTTTTTTACATTTTAAAAAAAGAAAAAATTCTGTTTTTGATTTGTTTATTTGGGTAAGCACAAACGTAGATCCCACACTTAGAAATAGCACACCCAAGTCAACCATAGTTGGGGTGATCACAAAGGTCAATCCAACTGGCGTGCAATGGAAGGGCCTCACTCTGGGGGAATTTGGTGTGAATTTTAGTAAATATAAATTCTTTTTATTTGGCGGGGAATTAACAGAAACGAGCCTACATCTGTTCTCACCAAAACTATGGGTTAAATATTAGGGTAGACTGAGCTCTTTAGTCATGGTAAGTAACCAATCTAGGAAAAGGACAACTGAGTTTAAAACTGATTAGGCAAAGAGCTAGCAACTCCATCCAGTAAAAACCTATTAGTTGCTATGGAAACCACAGCAGAGCCATATTACTCAGGGAATCTATAAGAAGAGTGAGGGGAGAATAGATTGTATGAGAAAAAAAGAAAATGGGTGTATGAATGAATGATTATATTGACTATGTTTGTCTTTGTAGAAAGAAAACTATATACTTGTCTATGCTTGAGAGTGTGAAAGAGATTTGAAATGTCAGCCAGCAACAGCCATGATTTAAGAGAGATTTTTTTTAATCCTCTTTCATGAATGAAACCCAATCATCCTCTACCATTACTGTTGCACTACCCTTGCTAGAAATGAATGAATCATTTCTTAGTGTTGCACTCTGTCAAGCAGGAATGATAGAAAGAAAAAAGAATAGTTATGTAGGACAAATAAGGTGCCAGTAGGTTTGATGGATGGCAAGCCATACAAGTATGTCCTCTCAAGAAAAGAATAATTTCCTGTTCACACAATTTTAATTTGAAATAAAACTTAAAGACAACAAAGTGATATTTAACATTTACTAGAAATCATTGTGTATTCAAAGTTGACATTATTCCAGGGTAACATTTTTTTTTTAACATGATTGTTATTATAAACTTAGTTTGTCAAGAACTGAAACCAAGTGGAGAGGCATCATTTAGACAAAACAATGTTTAAATTAAATGACTATTACATGTATTCATTTTTTTTATAATAAAATGTTATTTTTAATATTTTCACTTCAGATCATTTTTTAAGTTTAAAAACTTTAAATGATTCAATGTAAAATATTGTTAAAAATAAAAATTAATTGTCTAATAGAATAAAACTGTTTTACATTATTCTTACATGCAACATAAAGCAAATGTTAAAAGAATTTGAAATGTATTGTCTTACTTATACCATTCTTCTCTGTACTGTATTCCTTTAGGAGGTGGGAGATCATGGCTCTCCACAACTTCCTGTCCATTGTAGATCTTAAAAAAGTTTGTCTTTTTCCTACCTCTCCTAAACCTATTCAGCCATCCATTTACACAACCTGCTATTTCCCTCTGTTTCTTTTGCCTTCAGTTTGTACTGTGAGTGTCAAATTTTCCAAGCCCTCTTCTCTCCTTATATCTCCTAGAAATTTCATCTGTCTTCTGTGTTCTTTTTGTTTTGATTTTTGCTTAAAAGTAAGATTGTTCAGTATTCACTGTTAATGAAGAACTATATAACATTTTAGTACTCTTTTCTTTCTTACTAAGAAAATTTTGTGTTTCTTAATACTTTTTGGAATGTATTTTTTGTTTTATTTTGTAGATTAGTTGCTTTTTAATTAGGATATTTTAAATTCATGTACAATAGATGCTTTTTTTTATCAAGTTTTTCATTCTGCCTATTGTTTTCTTTTTCCTACTCTTTCTTACCTTGATATGATTTTTTTCTTTTTTTAACCTTTCTTTCATTCTTTTTTCGTTCTTTCTTTCTTTTTCTTTCTTTTTTTAAATCTATATCCTGTTTTCTTTATCCTATTCTTTCTTGCCTTTATGAATTTTTTCACCCTTTCTTTCTTTCTTTCTTTCTTTCTTTCTTTCTTTCTTTCTTTCCTTTACTTTCTTCCTTTCTTTCTTTCTTTACTTTCTTTCTTTAAATTTCCATACTGTTTTCTTTATCCTATTCTTTCTTACCATTATATGATTTTTTGATTTTTTACCCTTTCTTTTTTCTTTCTTTTTTCTTTCTTTCTTTCTTTACTTATTTATTTACGTCTTGTTTTCTTTTTTCTGCTCTTTCTTATCTTCATATAATTTCTTTCTTTCTTTCTTCTCTTTAAATTTAAATCCTGTTTTCTTTTTCCTCTCTCTTTTATCTTCATATGTTTTCTTTCTTTACCCTTTTCTTTCATTCTTTAAATTTACATGCTGTTTTCTTTTTCCTCTTTCTTATCTCATATAATTTCTTTCTTTCTTTCTTTCTTTCTTTCTTTCACTTTTCATCCTGCTATCTTTCTCCTACTCTTTCTTACCTTCATATGATTTTGATTTTTTACCCTTTCTTTCTTTCTTTCTTTCTTTCTTTCTTTCTTTCTTTCTTTCTTTTTCCTGCTCTCTCTTCATACAATTTCTGTCTTTTACCTTTCTTTCTCTATCTTTTTTGCCACAAGTCTGATCTTCATCTGTCTGGAGATTGTCCAGGATTCACTGCCATATAGAGGACCAATATTATAACTGTTCAGCACTCTTTCTTTGTTTTGCCATACGAAGCTAAATTTAGTCAATAATATGATCCAGAAAAAGCAAATATAATTTTGTTCAATGCAACAGATACTTTGTTCACTTACATTTGGCCGGATGTCAAATTTTGTGTACAGAAACCAACACAAGATCCATTGTTGTTGTTCTTTCAACTAGCCACTCTATATAAGTACATACACACACACACACACATATATATATATACATACTTTGCCTTTTGTTTCATTTATATTGATCATATCTAAATGCAGCAATCTTTTCAACATTTTGTGTTAATATTATCAATAATACAACAAGCAAATAAGGGTGAATAGATAAAAGCTCACCTCTTCTACTGAGTCGAATACAAAAATTAGTTTTTTATATATAATTTTTTTAGATATCTATAATTATCTTGCAATTTCCTGGCCAAACAGCTTTGCAGTAATAATAATGCCTTATTCCTGCTATGATTAAAAGCATAAAACAACCAGAATATACATAAATATATACATCTAAATATACCAATGTTTGAATATATTTATAGATATATTTAGTGTATAGATATACATATTTCATATCTATATATATACATGCAAAATAATACTACAAAAGAATAAATAAAGGATAATCCATTGCTAAATTTTTATCCTGGCCAATATATGAAAAATTGAGAGGGATGTAAAAAGTATATCTTTTTTTATCCAAGCCTATATGCAGAAATTGGGAGGGTATGAAAAATATGTAATTTTTTTATCTTAGCCTATTAGGAGAGTGTAAAAAGTATGTCATTTTTTATCCTAGCCTATATACATGAGTGTAAAATGTATTTCATTTTTTATCTGAGCCTATTAATGAAAATTGGGAGGGTGTAAAAAGTATGTCATTTTTTATCCTAGCCTATATATGGAAATTGGGAGGGTGTAAAAAGTATGTCATTTTTATCCTAGCCTATTAGAGAGTGTAAAAAAGTATGTCATTTTTATCCTAGCCTATATACAGAAATTGGGAGGGTATAAAAATATGTAATTTTTATCCTAGCCTATTAGGAGAGGGTAAAAAAGTATGTCATTTTTTTTATCCTAGCCTATATATGGAAATTGGGAGGGTGTAAAAAGTATGTCATTTTTTATCCTAGCCTATTAGGAGAGTGTAAAAAAGTATGTCATTTTTTTATCCTAGCCTATATACAGAATTGGGAGGGTATAAAAAATATGTAATTTTTTATCCTAGCCTATTAGGAGAGTGTAAGAAGTATGTCATTTTTATCCTAGCCTATATATGGAAATTGGGAGGTGTAAAAAGTATGTCATTTTATCCTAGCCTATTAGGAGAGTGTAAAAAGTATGTCATTTTTTTATCCTAGCCTATATACAGAAATTGGGAGGGTATAAAAAATATGTAATTTTTTATCCTAGCCTATTAGGAGAGTGTAAGAAGTATGTCATTTTTTATCCTAGCCTATATATGGAAATTGGGAGGGTGTAAAAAGTATGTCATTTTTATCCTAGCCTATTAGGAGAGTGTAAAAAGTATGTCATTTTTTATCCTAGCCTATATACAGAAATTGGGAGGGTATAAAAAATATGTAATTTTTTATCCTAGCCTATTAGGAGAGGGTAAAAAGTATGTCATTTTTTATCCTAGCCTATATATGGAAATTGGGAAGGTGTAAAAAGTATGTCATTTTGTTATCCTAGCCTATTAGGAAAGTGTAAAAAAGTATGTCATTTTTTATCCTAGCCTATATACAGAAATTGGGAGGGTGTAAAAAATATGTAATTTTTTATCCTAGCCTATTAGGAGAGGGTAAAAAGTATGTCATTTTTTATCCTAGCCTATATATGGAAATTGGGAGGGTGTAAAAAGTATGTCATTTTGTTATCCTAGCCTATTAGGAAAGTGTAAAAAGTATGTCATTTTTTATCCTAGCCTATATACAGAAATTGGGAGGGTATAAAAAATATGTAATTTTTTATCCTAGCCTATTAGGAGAGTGTAAAAAATATGTCATTTTTTATCCTAGCCTATTAGGAGAGTGTAAAAAATATGTCATTTTTTATCCTAGCCTATATACAGAAATTGGGAGGGTATAAAAAATATGTAATTTTTTATCCTAGCCTATATATAAAAAGTGGGATGAGTGTAAAAGTATGGCATTCTTTACTTCATAGTTACGTCATAGCGAAACTGATGGCCAGAACAGGTGGACTATTTCACTCAATATCATTTCACTGAGAGCAACACTTTTTAGTTTTGGTTTGGCTTTGTGGTAGTTGAATTAAGAAATTTGTACTTAATACACTCATCATAACTATAGTGTATTTAATGAAGTAAGTATAAGATTTATTTATTTATTTCAAACTTGCTATATTAACTTTTTTTTTGAAGATTGTAGGTGACAGGGAAGCAAGCAATTGGAATGGAAATCAAAGATGAGATGGTGTGAGAAAAAAAACTATTAGAATAGAATTGATAGTTGCATCTAGCTCAGGGATTCTCAATCAGGGAAAAATTCTCCACCTCCCGGGGTTGGGGAGTTTAAAATGTCAGGGGGAAATTGTTTTACTTTTTTGGGGTTTTTATTTACAGAATATTGCTTATTAAATTCCAATACCCTGGCATTGTTTATTGAAGTATGGTTCAGTTTAGTTATTTAATAATTAGTTATGAATTGAAACAAATTACTGTAAATGTATGCAATTTTAAAAATCCATCAATATTTTCTACTGCTATTAAATTTGTAAAACTCCTATATAGGAAGACTAGCAGCATGGACCGGCGTTGCCTGTGCTTGATTCAAAAATCGTACAACTCGTACAGCAATCGCTATCACTTGACTTAAAATATTTTTGCCCTTCCTTGCCTTTAAAGGAGTGCCCTTTGCTGTGTTGATGTTGCTACATGCCTTACTTCTTGCCCATCTCACATTGCAAATTTTTACAATTAACTACAGTTATAATTAACCACAGAATATACTAAGACAAAGTTATAATTAACTACAGTTATAATTATCAGTCATAATTAACCACAGAATATACTAAGGCAAAGTTATAATTAACTACAGTTATAATTATCAGTTATAATTAACCACAGAATACACTAAGGCAAAGTTATAATTAACTACAGTTATAATTAACCACAGAATATACTAAGACAAAGTTATAATTAACTACAGTTATAATTATCAGTCATAATTAACCACAGAATATACTAAGGCAAAAGTTATAATTAACTACAGTTATAATTATCAGTTATAATTAACCACAGAATACACTAAGGCAAAGTTATAATTAACTACAGTTATAATTAACCACAGAATATACTAAGACAAAGTTATAATTAACTACAGTTATAATTATCAGTTATAATTAACCACAGAATATACTAAGGCAAAGTTATAATTAACTACAGTTATAATTATCAGTTATAATTAACCACAGAATACACTAAGGCAAAGTTATAATTAACTACAGTTATAATTAACCACAGAATATACTAAGACAAAGTTATAATTAACTACAGTTATAATTATCAGTCATAATTAACCACAGAATATACTAAGGCAAAGTTATAATTAACTACAGTTATAATTATCAGTTATAATTAACCACAGAATATACTAAGGCAAAGTTATGATTAACTACAGTTATAATTAACCACAGAATATACTAAGACAAAGTTATAATTAACTACAGTTATAATTATCAGTTATAATTAACCACAGATTATACTAAGGCAAAGTTATAATTAAGTACAGTTATAATTAACCACAGAATATACTAAGACAAAGTTATAATTAACTACAGTTATAATTATCAGTTATAATTAACCACAGAATATACTAAGGCAAAGTTATAATTAACTACAGTTATAATTAACCACAGAATATACTAAGACAAAGTTATAATTAACTACAGTTATAATTATCAGTCATAATTAACCACAGAATATACTAAGGCAAAGTTATAATTAACTACAGTTATAATTATCAGTTATAATTAACCAGAATATACTAAGGCAAAGTTATAATTAACTACAGTTATAATTAACTACAGTTATAATTAACCACAGAATATACTAAGACAAAGTTATAATTAACTACAGTTATAATTATCAGTTATAATTAACCACAGAATATACTAAGGCAAAAGTTATAATTAACTACAGTTATAATTAACTTTATAATTATCAGTTATAATTAACCACAGATTATACTAAGGCAAAGTTATAATTAACTACAGTTATAATTAACCACAGAATATACTAAGACAAAGTTACAAAAGGCAAAGTAATTAAATTACAGTTATAATTATCAGTTATAATTAACCACAGAATATACTAAGACAAAGTTATAATTAACTACAGTTATAATTATCAGTTATAATTAACCACAGAATATACTAAAGGCAAAGTTATAATTAACTACAGTTATAATTAACCACAGAATATACTAAGGCAAAGTTATAATTAACTACAGTTATAATTATCAGTTATAATTAACCACAGAATATACTAAAGACAAAGTTATGATTAACTACAGTTATAATTAACCACAGAATATACTAAGACAAAGTTATAATTAACTACAGTTATAATTATCAGTTATAATTAACCACAGATTATACTAAAGGCAAAGTTATAATTAAGTACAGTTATAATTAACCACAGAATATACTAAGACAAAGTTATAATTAACTACAGTTATAATTATCAGTTATAATTAACTACAGAATATACTAAGACAAAGTTATAATTAACTACAGTTATAATTAACCACAGAATATACTAAGACAAAGTTATAATTAACTACAGTTATAATTATCAGTCATAATTAACCACAGAATATACTAAGGCAAAGTTATAATTAACTACAGTTATAATTATCAGTTATAATTAACCACAGAATATACTAAGGCAAAGTTATAA